TGCCCCTTGTCCTGTCGCTGGGCACCACTGAAAAGAGCTTGGCCCATCCTCCTGACACCCACCCTGCAGATATTTGTAAGTATATATTAGGTCCCCTCGCAGCCTTCTCTCCTTCAGGCTGAACAAGCCCAGCTCCCTCAGCCTCTCCTCGTAGGAGAGATGTTCCAGTCCCCTCACCATCCTTGTAGCCCTTGTAGCCCTCCGCTGGACTCTCTCCAGTAGCTCTTCAATGTCCTCAGACATTACTGTTACAATTTGGTTTCAGACACCATTACAGGGTACAGAAGTCACAGCCTTGCACAGCAGCTGAAAGGAGCTGCCAGCATTTTGCCTTTCCCCCAAGAGAAGCGCTAAGGAACAGCCTGTGCCAGTCACAGGCATCCTCCGCAGGAACAAAGGTTGCCTAATGTTTAAGATAAGAACATGGAAGTGAAGTAAATTTCTGGATTTAAAAAAAAAAAAAGGATTTGAACTTCACTTTGAGAGCTTATACAAGTCAACAGATTTAAAGTCAGTCAGCGAACTACAGCAGAATAGAAATGAGGGAAGGAGCAATATGCAAGGAACAGTGTTTACATGCAAGTCAACCTGCAGGCACTAATATTGAATCTGAAAGTCAGAAGCTTTTAGAACTGGCAGACCTAGTTTTATTGCTCCTATATCTGATCAAGGAACAAAGAAGAAGGAAAGGGAGGCAGTCGTCAAAGTATCACAGTCTTCCGAGAAAGAGCTTCTAGCAACTCAGTTCCAGCTGAAGCAGCAGCCGCTGTCTCTGGGAAGGGTGGACACACCACTTGCTACTGGAGAGCTGGGCAATGACCATGTCGAGGGAGGGAGAAGGGATCAACCCAGCAGAACCAAGTTAGGTGTTTGGTTAAAAAGAAAAATCCTGGTAATTTTGCAGTCCCATCCCCAGCACCCACAACTTACACGGCAGGCAAGACATGCTTTCTCGTGGTCAGGAGCCATTCTGAGCGCCTGGACAAAGAACTGCACTGCCTTCTCAATACAGTCCTCGTAGTAAAGGCAGAGACCACGGACATACAGAGCGTCTGCATTTGTGGAGTCCATTCGTAGGATGTCACTGTAATAGACACATTAAAAAAAACAAAATGTTTCCCTATTGCAGTTTCCTTCTGATCTCCAAAAGCGCTGCTCCTCCGCTGAGATGCGGAGTTGTTTTACCAAGTCTGTGGTACGGACACACAAGAAGTATGGGAACTTGCTCAAGCAAGACCGCTGGTTATTAACCGGGTCTGAACAGTTTCCCGGTAAACTTCACTTTAAAGGGGACAGATTCATGCACTCCTCATCACAATTTGCATTAACGACTGTCTTGTTTATATCCCCTCACTCCTTTTGGGCTGTGGAAAACAAGCAGAAGCCAGACCACGCCCCCAGTTGTGACTCCAGCTCCAGACCTTCGGCCGCTCACCTTGCTACGGACTGTGCTTCTGGGTAGCGACCCAACAACGCTAAACATTCAGCCTTGAGGATTTTGAACCGGTGACAAGCAGGAGCAAACTCCAAAGCACGATCCATGCAAAATACAACCTGGTGTGAGAAAAACAGACAGGTGAGCAAAGCAAATAGCCAAAGGCCTAGTCTGAAAGGCTGCGCCATTACCACACTTGAGATTTCGTATTTGCCTTTGAACAGGAAGAGAAGCGTGCAGACACCTGATTCTTCTGCTGCTGGAGACACATTTAATTTGAAAGTTTTCCTCAAGTGCAGGCTTTTTGCTTTGTCTTTTAAAGGGCTTTGCATACAAAGGTCTGCGGCACTGGCTACGTTACTATGACACAGCGCTAGATGGAAAATTCAAGGGACACCTGTAGAAGGTCCATCCCTTTAACTCTTCTGAAATTGTAGGCCCTAAAGAAAAAAAACCAAGGAAGATAATTCTGCCCCTATTTGCTGCATTATAAAGACAAGTGGGAAAGACAGAAATCCAATAGACTGAGACAGTTTGGACTAGACAAGACAAAACAAGTACAGTGCCAGGACTGATCTTACACTGCTCTGCCTGCAATGGGCAGGGTGATCTAATAGGTCTTTTCCATCTCAGCCTCTCTGGTGGGCACATCTGCATGAGAACAGGGTCATTGTTCCACCAAGGTTCATCTGCTTCCCCAGCCCGTGACATCACGATTGCCCGCTGTGGGAAGCGCTGTACTCCAGACTGAGAAGCCAATGGCTTCTGGGTGAGGAAGGAGCAAGAGCAGCTCTCCAGAAACAAAGATGACATTTCATGCAAGCCTCCCCAGCGGGGTGAGACAGAAGTGAAGGGACAGATGCAAAAGCCCAGAACATGCAATGCAGGCAGGGCAATTCCTACACATGAAATCCAGACAGAGCACACATCCCGTTTGCTCCTCATAACCAGGTGATACACAGCTGGGATTTACCCTTCCAAAACCTGGAGCTTAGCCTGAGAGTCAGTGACCTGAACAGTGAGCTTAATGTGCTGGACAATCTCTTTCCTGGGCCCTACATGCATCCACTGAACTTGCATGAGAAGTGCTTGGTGCTTTTCAGACTTCATGCTGTCATTTCTTGTTGTATCAGGTCAGTACCAGCTGCATCCTGTTACAGCCCTTGAGCAGAAAGATTCGGAAACAGTGACAGAGAATGCCCCGTGCAGATCTGCATTCCTCCTTCAATGACCCTCACTATAATACTGGAAAACAGGCTGCTTTTTTTTTTTTTCTCTTAATTAAAGAGTTGAGAAAGAAGAATCTTGGATATGCATTTTAGGAGCAAAGCGTGATCGAATGCTGCTGCTGACAAAATCTGTATCAAACAGCTCATTCATGGTTCCACTCACCCTGCAAAGCAAACAGTAATAGAGGATATTCAGCCCGAGCCAGTCACCCACTTCACTTTTCATTCGTTCAGTGCTAAGAGAGCTCTGCCATTTTCACAACTACTACAGTTCACAAGACAGCCCTGCTCCAACAGCACAAGTACATTGTACAGCCCCCCCCACGAGGCCCAGCTAAAGGTACGCAGGGAAACTGGACAGGCACCAGGCAGAGCTGGACAGGTAAAACACGTCAGTTCGTAATGCTACAGGAAACAATCAAGTTAAGCTCACCTTCCTGAAATCCCGTTTCTCAAAATCCACTTCAGCTATTTTTTCATACTCCAGCACAGTACTGGCGTTCTTCAGCTGAAAGACAGGAGAACACAGCAAGCATTGCAGGACGGCCACTGCTCTGAAACACCATCAAGCAGCACTTCAGCAGCCAACTCCTGAAGCGTCAGAGCAAAAACTATTGCAGACCATGGAACAATAATGCAGATTGCATGAATACTTTTGTCAGCATTAAAATCAGTTTGAAATCAAGTGACCTAACTGGTAGCCCAGGAAAATGCACCCTGTGAATCAGATCCACAAGTGGCAGCAGCCTTCCACATACTGCATCACCCATTTCCGTGCTCCCTTACCACCATTTACCATTTCTCCTCTGGAGTGCTGGGTGAAAGACCAGCTTAGCCTCCACGCTTTTCTGCTAAGAAGAGACAATCACACACAAAAGTAACTACGCAACCTGACCGTCTACTTGAAAACAGATATAGAGACTTTGACAGCATCTCATTTTTCCATTACCTCACAGCATGCAAACAGTCATTACTAATGATGACTGTGATTCCGCCTTGCAAATTCAAAGCAAAAGGCTCACCAGTTCAATCCAATTCCTTTGACAGCCCCATCTACTGGTAATATTTAAATTTTAAGAATGTCTTACCTCTTGCTGCGCCTGGGTATTCTTATGATCCAGTTCTAAAACTCGCTGAAAGCAGCGGCTGGCAGCCATGGCATTCCCCAGGGAAAGATGGCACTTCCCTTCCCGAAGATGGCCCTGAGAAGACAGTGAAAAGGGGGCTGCAAGAGCTGCAATGGGTGGAGACAAAGGTATTGAGACAGGAATAGGAAATACGAAGTCTTCCACATACCCTTACAAAGCTATCATCCAATCTGACAGACTGCTGAGCATCTCCCAGTGCCTCTCGGAATCGCCCCAACATCATCAGCGTGGCGGCTCTGTTACCGTAATAACTGGCATTATTAGGACAGGTATCTGGAGAAGACGTAAGAGCACTCACTGTTAGTGTGATGCAAGCAGCTATACAACTTTTAGAACACATTAAAAAGCCACGGCTGGATTAAAACCTCACATTCCATCCCAATTTATAACGTCAGCTGAGTGGCTTCAGCTGAGGCACCGTGGTCAAGCAGCTGTTTTGAATAGCAAGTCATAAAACCATTGCTCCCCACACTCTACATGGGAATTAACTCCTACAGAACCAGGGTGCTCAGTCTGGCAGCACTGCCGGCCCCGCATCAGAGGGAAAGCTGGACAGGTTTCATGTCAAGAATATCTTGGCTGGAAGAGAAACACGGAACTGCTGCCATCACCCACACCGGCACTGACTTGTGTTACAAACCTGGAGAAATTTCGCAAGGTAATTAAAGCAGGCAAAAAGTTTTCATCCAGCACGTACTGTTGGAAACCCTGCTGGTGCATTTTAAATCAATAACCAGCTTTGATCTTTACACATGGTATTCAGCAAAGATTCATGTTCTCACCAGCCGTCCTCACCTATGGCTTTTGTGTAATAGTTGTACGCTTCATTGTAATCTTTCTTGGCATAGTACGCGTTTCCTTGTTCCTTGAATGATTCTGCTTCTCTGAAAGGAAGGAAAACACCACATTTTAAGAGGAATTGAGCATCAGAACAGGTTCTGACCACGACCGAGCATCTGATCCCCAAGCAGTCTCAGTACAACCCTTCAGCGCTCCAAAACGCTCGTAGCTGGTTGCTGCGAGACCTCCTCTGTACACATTGCCCAGGAGAAAACAGCACGCCTCATGTCCCGCTGGCTCTCGGACCCTTCATCACTTGATCAGGGCCACACACAGGGATGCTGAGGGATATGACCTAGCTGAACACTCCAGGAATGCACCAGCAGGCCAAAGCCACCTTCGAGCACCCTCCTTTCAGTCTCAGCTGCACTTGCGTCTTCGAGCCCCGCGAACTCCCAGCTGGGCACAGGGCTAACCAAACAGCCTGCCCCTGCTGTCAATCTTTTGGGAATAGTCTCACATACTTAAGAAACAGGGCCAAGAACAATTTCTGCATTCAAAAGACAGCTAAACCGAGGAGAAATAAGGGTGCAAGTCTCCAGCAGAAGCTTGCCACTGCCTTGGCAACAGGTCCAGAAATAGTCCTCGCACTCAAGAGCAAGCATTTGCAGAGACACTTTAGGACATTTAAAAACACACAACATATGGTTTAAAGCAGCTTCCCTTAAACTCTTGAAAGCAAAGTTTACCCTGAAGGAAATTCAACCCTTCTCTCTCTTCTCCCATCTACCTTCACCATTTTAGATAAGCAGCCTGAGACGGAACTTGTACCATGGTGTTGAAGTTTAATTCAGCTTCACTGAATTAAATTCAGTGATATAATTCACCTGCTTCCTCTCCTAGACTGTTTAACATGTGAAAACTATGAGGCCAACTCAAGGAAGCATCACCCTTCTCTAAGATCCGGCAGTCAAGACTTGCATCGTGCTTTTGGGACTCCGCTGCTGTAGCCAGAGAGACAGACACTGTCTGTCCACTCTCCAAAGCACTTGCCCAGCTAGAACTCTGGCCCCAGACAAAGCCAAATTCTAACCATCAGACAAAGACCAGCTCAGGCTCCATCCTGCACATCCCACCAGGGACGCAGCGTATCTGCGAGCCCCAGCTACTCTCTCCTCCAACAACGAGCGGTCTTCAGCAGAGCAGCCCAGCCGCGGGGACCACCGCACGGGGCAAAGGGCCGGATCACAAGCAGCACAGTTGAAGTTACACAGAATCACAGAATAGTAGGGGTTGGAAGGGACCTCTGTGGGTCATCTAGTCCAACCCC